CCCCCACACCGGGATTGGGATAATAAATTGAAAAGCATTGAAGACAACTTTGGATGAGCAAGGATTTCTGCATGATTTCAATAATATGAAACCAAATTTGCAAGTTTCTGTTAACTTTGCAAACATGCGAAATCCCATTTCTCCTTCATTAAGCAAATTCTAGAGAGAGCTCGGCCTAAACCAATACTTTGTCAAGAAGTTAAAGGGAAAACTCACAATGAATGATAAAAAGGGTTCCATGTCTAACAAAGTCAGCTTATTAAAGGAAAATTTTACATAAAGTTTTTTCTCCAAAATTTTACAAAAGAAATCTAAACTATTTAAAAAAATATATCAATGTAATTTTCATATCTTTTTATCAAATCAAGGGGTTTGTTTCAAGTATTATTTAGTGCAAAGACAATTTCTTCTTTTATAAATTCTAGCTTCACTCTTTACAGGAATATTGTTGCTGGTTTAAGATAGACAGATAGATAGTAAATGTGGTATATTGTAGAGAATGGTAAAGGAGGGGAAGAGGGGGGAGGGGGAGGAATTGAGTTAATGAAATACCTTAGCACCCAACCGGTTCCTTCCATCCTCTCCAGGAATTTCCTTCAATTCTCCGTTCTCAACGGAATCAGGTTCCGGGCACCGAGTAAATTCACATTTCGGAGCTGTCCCAGTCCAACCATCTACATCACAAATCCTCTCCTTGCTTCCGCCCATCAGGGAAAAGTCGTCGTTGCACTTGTATCCGACTTTGGCGCCAAAAGTTGTTCGACCATCGAGCACGTGGACGGCGCCATTTAAAAGTCCCGGAACGTCTCCACACTCGACAAATTTACAGCTGATTGGTTCCCCGGACCAATCACCACCAATTCGACAGAATTGTTCCTATATGTCGAGCAATATATGAAGATATAGTTCGCGTCATAAAACTTTCTGACAGGCTAAAATTCCCAATATAGCCAAATAAAGATCAAATTTCAATATTGTGGAGAAATTTATATTTTGTTTCAGAAGATATTCCTTGTTTGCAGGAAAATAAAGAAATGAAATATAACAAAAGATAAAAAAGAATTGAATCTGTCAAATTTTTTATTGTTGAAAACTTTTCCCCCATTTTATTGAATTGAAGTTTTGATCAGATCCCAGAATATTGCTTTCCTGTTCTCCCATAGGTTTAAACCCTGTGGGACAGTGGTAAAGTACACTGCCCCCAACCTTCCTGTCCCCACTTGTCCATGTCCCCTCACCAACTGGTGGGCTGGGACACCTACTAGGGGGGCCCTTGCAAACAGTCTTAGCATCAACCTAAATATTAAAATTTAAAATCAAACAAATAAGTGAAGTTTATCAAGTGTATAATGGTCGTCAAAAAAAATGGAATTAAGAATACGATTTCTAATCAATCTAAAGTATGTATTGAACAGTTGGATTCATAAAACTGAGGAAGGAAAAAGACAATCAAACAATTTCAAGCGTATATTTGCAATGTCAAAAAGTTTTACCATTAACTTAAAAACCATATTTTTAATGAAATGGGTCTACACTCTACCTACAGTCTAAAGTCCCTGTAATAAGATTTAAGCCGCCCTTAAATACTCATCCTTTGTGGATAACCCATTGTATAAACTTAATGGCTATTTCTCTTTATTCAAAATATTTTATTAAACAATATTTTGGTCTTTTCATTATTCAGAAACCACTAGAGAAGATTGAGAAACACAAAGAAAAATCACAGTTGCAAGCTCAGGCGCAAAAATTAATGAGAATTTCGCCAATTACATCTTTTTAACTAAACTTAGAAACAAGCTGGTTATAAATATAAAAAGTGCTACAAATAATTACAAGAGAGTCGACCCATCCTTAAAAATCGATGCGGATTTTCCTATCAATCTGGATCTATGCCAAATACCTTGCAAGAAATATCATTCCACATCCAGTCCAGATCTTTGTCTAAAACTGCACAATTCTGCTCATTTGCATAATTATTCGGCTGTTCAGCTCCCCAGAATATATCAGATACACTTCCTCCTACAAATTATAATTAATAGATAGATCAAGGGCGTATACAGGGGGGGGGCATGGGGGGCAGTGCCCCCCCTAGACTTGTAAAGGGGGGGCGTAGCCCCCCCCTAGAATTCTGCAAGCCTTTCACACTTTTCAAATCTTAACTGAAGAGTGAAGAACACAAAAAAAATAAGTTTGCTTTTCATGATTATTATAAAAAAACAAAATTTTAAAATATATATAATTACAGTGCAGTGCTCATGCTGTAACCAAGTTAACCTAACCAACCTAACCTAATTTTAACTTTTAAGTTCACAGAGTACACAGAGTTTAGTTCGGTTCAGAGAACACACAGTCTGCATACATTTGTACAGCTCACACACTTTACATTATATGCTAGTCTTGTTTAGTAGTGATGTAAGTCTGTTAAAAGTTGCCGTTGTGACTGGTATCTGTGAATTGCTGATTAATAATTATCATGAATCAAATACTGTTATTTATAAGCCTTGAGTTATCATTCATTCTTAGATTGCAGCAATTGTACTCCTACTTTTTTTCACAACAGAAACTTTTACAAGTCATAATTATTTTCTGGACCTTTGTACTTCTTTTCACCTCATAGAATTAAAGTTTAAGTTAAGTTTTTATTTTCAAAAATGTCTTTTACTATCTCTAGTTTAAATACTAAATATACATGTAAAAGTATAATAAAATGTCGATTTTTTAGAAACAATGCTTAGAAGGTAATTATTTGGACTGTATGTGTGCCTTTTAAGTATCTTATACTTATGCCTGATATCCAAGAAGCCAAGTGTTATGAATTTACAGTTCGAATTTTGCCCCCCCCTAGGAGCTCCTAGGGGGGGGCAAAAAAATTTTTTTGCGCTTCGCGCAAATCTTGCCCCCCCCCTACATTTATTTCTGTATACGCCCTTGAGATAGATAAATACTGAGTAAATATTAAATTAATAATAAATAAGTAATGAATGAAATAAATAAATATAGGTTATGAATTAACAAATAATAATCAATAAATATACAGGGTGAGTCAAAAAAAGTGTGATTTGAGGCGCCTGGCGCAAAATTGTACCTTTATTTGTGCAACTCTCCTGTATGGGGGTTTTCAATATTTTTTGAAAATTTGTAATTTTTTTTGCTACTCCAAATGCCCAAAAGAAAATCCGTGAACCTTATTTTTCTCTCTCAAAAAAAAAGTTCAGAAAAGCAAAAATGTGTATATAAATTATTCCTATCGAATTCTAAAATTTTTTAAAAGATTGAATCACAGAATCACAGAAAATTTTCAAAATTGTAATAAGAAAATTCGCAATTTTTAGTTCTGGTCTGATTTTTAAGGAAAAGTTATTCAAATTCTCTAGTTCCTTTCTTCTTAGTATATTCTAAAGTATTAAATAAACGCCGTTTAGTTGAAACCTTAAGAACCATTGAAGAACATTTTTTTCGGTAAAAAATAAACCAGAACTGAAAATTGCGAATTTTCTAAATTACAATTTTGCAAATTTTCTGTGATTCTGTGATTCAATTTTTTTAAAATTTAAAATTTCAATAGAAACAATTTATTCGAACATTTTTGTTTTTATGAACTTTTGATTTTGAGAGAAAAAAGTACGCGGATTTTATTGGGCCATTGAAGTACCAAAAAAAATACAAATTTTCAAAAAATATTGAAAAACTCGCATACAGGAGAGTTGCACAAAAAAGGTACAATTTTGCACCAGGCAATATATAATCAATAAGTAAATAAATGTTCGTTATTTTCTACAACAAAAAACTTTCAGCGATTTCAGTCATTCCATCAGTTTTATTGAGTGTTAGATGTGTTGAAAGAAATAATATAATTTATTCTAAAAGTGTATCTAGTCGAAGGCAACAATATAATTTATTCTAAAAGTGTATCTAGTCAAAAGAAACAATATAATTTATTCTAAAAGTGTATCTAGTCGCAAGAAATAATATAATTTATTCTAAAAGTGTATCTAGTCGAAAGCAACAATATAATTTATTCTAAAAGTGTATCTAGTCGAAGGCAACAATATAATTTATCTAGTCGAAAGCAACAATATAATTTATTCTAAAAGTGTATCTAGTCGAAGGCAACAATATAATTTATTCTAAAAGTGTATCTAGTTGAAGGCAACAGTATAATTAATTCTAAAAGTCTATCTAGTCAATAAAGAAACAATATAATTTATTCTAAAAGTGTATCTAGTCGAAAGAAACAATATAGTTTATTCTAAAAGTGTATCTAGTCGAAGGAAACAATATAATTTATTCTAAAAGTGTATCTAGTATGAAGAACCAATATAATTTTAAGATCGTGAAAACTACGTTTACATTTACGTATCTCAAAGATCTAAATGTTTTGTAATTTTTTACTCTTAATTTTTTTATTACAAGGTCTGTGAACGTGATTTTAGGTAAATTATATAACTTTATCGATTGAAAATTATGAAGATAATCATTTTTTTACCTAATATCGAAAATTAATAAGCTTGTAGAAAATTAAGAAAATTCTCTATTTTTAAGATATTAAAAACGACGCATCTTCTAAAACAGATAATCATTTGAAGTTACGTCCACAATCTCTTTAATATAGTTATATTTATGTTAGGTACCTGTCACCCAATTCCAAGTTTCCCCCTCACTACTTTTCTCCGCCCCGATCCAGACTAATGTTCCTCTATCCGCCCGACCCTCCGCCTCAAGCCGATTACGTAGAAAACTAAACAATAGACAATTTAAAAATCACAAAAACATAAACATTTGATATTTTACACTTTTTAATTTAAGACATCAGTAATAGCATTTTATGAATTGCAGAGATCGCTTAACTACCTACCGCCGGTTCTTTTACTTTGAATCAGTAATTCAAGATTTGAACTGGTGAGCAGTATATAGTTCAGCGAACCAGCTCAAATAGGGATCAGGACATTATAGCTAGTGACGCGTGTTAAGCTTTAAGCAAATGCATTTATGTTTTTTTTCGCGCAAAGTTTTGTATTGGATTTTTGTACGTGTGTTTAAACTGAAAGAGCTGTTGTATAGAACCTATTGAACTATAAACTAAATAATAATGTGTTGTTGGATGGAGAAAATAATACTTGGAAAACCTTGATGTAAACCATGCATTGTTTATAGGGGGGGGGGGGGTCAGTTACTTTATTTTAAAAGCTCCATGAACCAACCCAGGTCAAGGTTTGCCTGGTGTAGTTTTTACTCGTACCAGCCCGTCTAGTGTACCAGCCCGTCTAGTGTACCCATTATGTGATTGACCCAATGCGTTTTATGCAACAGAATTAGGCAGACGTTCGTGGCTGCATTCTCCTTGACACTTATTCAGGTGTGGGGGGAGGGGGGGAGTCAACCACCGCCCCCTAAAACCCTGCTCCAGAACAGTTTAAACTTTTATATTCGTCTTTCCTGACTTTCTGAAGCTTCAGTGCATTTTGTATTCCGTTACCAGTTTTATAGTGAAGCTTAACTAAACTTTAAAATGGAAACTTACATTCTTAAATTCATTCATCCATTCTTCAACCATCCTTTTGGCCATTTTATTATTTTTTTTTGTTATAGAAATAGGGTTTAAATAAAAGAGCGTAGGAAAATGGAAACATTTTTGAACATGGTGTGCCGCTGATTTTTTAGTGCATCTCGCTAAACTAATGCCCTTGGGGCTTGGGTTGTGTCTGGAGAAGGGCTTAAAAAAAACATTTAATAAGTTAATATTTGTTTTGGTTAATTTGAATGAGTTGAAATTCTCACAAGATTGTTAATATTTGAGTTTGACCGCTCATAAAGGTAAATACTAAATAGATTCCTTGGGAACATTCCAAAAATCCAGAATTAATATTTTTTTATGATACAGGGTTACCCACAAAGAATGAGACTGTAACGACGACCTGAAACTCTTTAAATATGTTTGAATTACGCCTTCTCCATTAAATATACCCTTTTGTTGGCTGATATAATGATTTTCCAGAGAGAGAAACTAGTTTACAGTTGCAGGTTTTATCATGAATATTATAAACTAGTTTACAGTTGCAGGTTTTATCATGAATATAAGAAACTAGTTTACAGTTGCAGGTTTTATCATAAATCTTAGAAACTAGTTTACAGTTGCAGGTTTTATCATAAATCTTAGAAACTAGTTTACAGTTGCAGGTTTTATCATGAACATAAGAAACAAGTTTACAGTTGCAGGTTTTATCATGAATATTAGAAACAAGTCTACAGTTGCAGGTTTTAGCATGAATATAAGAAACTTGTTTACAGTTACAGGTTTTAGCATGAATATTAAAAATAAGTTTACAGTTGCAGGTTTTGTCATGAATATTAGAAACTAGTTTACAGTTGCAGGTTTTATCATGAATAATAGAAACAAGTTTACAGCTGCAGGCTTTAGCATGATTATAAGAAAATGCATTAAAGTACACTGTAAACAAAAACGTTATTGCTCCAATAGATATATCTATAACATTCAAAGAAAAAATTACAGTTAGATATATCGCGCACTGTGTGCTGTATAATAATAGCTGCTTTCTTTATAAAGAATGTTGTTTCCTTCAAAAAACGCGTTTGCGATATATCTACAGTAGCTTGTTTATATCGCATAGAGTGTACGATAAAGCTGAGTGTATGATATAGCTAACTGTAATTTTTCCGTTAAATGTGAATGGGATAGCGTTTTTTCTTAAGTGTATTAATTCCATACACTCGTATTTCAAAATCTCATCATATGTGGGTAACCTCACCCAGAGGCGTATTCAGGGGGGGCTATGGGGCTAAGCCCCCCCTGGACCCGTGCAATCTATTGATTTCAGGGGGTTTTCAGGCCCCAGCGGGTGCTGAGCCCGGGCCCCCCTGGAAAGAAAAAAAATTAAGCCCCCCCCCCTGGAAAAATACGCCCCTGACCTCCCCATGTGTATGGTACTATAAATTGTTTCTTTAAGCGGACTAAGAAAATAATCTCCTGACCTGGCAGCTTCCTGGTCTATCTCGTAAGCAAGATGATATCCAGCTGAATCACAAGTTTTAGCTGCCTCAACAAATCCAAGGTTATCCTTAAACAAATCATTTAAAGGAACTAAATACGTTTCTAGAGTAGCATGTCCAATTTACTACAGTACCGTTAGAATCGTTGTCTGATACAAATTGTATGAAATGATGAAATATTCATCATCTATTCTTCTCTTTAAAATTTGATTATTTTCAAAAAAAATAAAATGATCAAATCAATTTATTTCTAAAGAAATAATTAAAGTATAAGATAAAGACATACATTTTAAACATGATTTTAAGATCAAATGATTTTAAGATCACTTGATTTAAAACAACATGATAGAATAAGATTTTGTAATTATTTTTCCCAAAACTAGTAGAAAATTTACAAAAAATAAGTGAAAATTTCCCGCCATACTCTTTTTTCTATTTTCGTTTTTTTGAATTAAATAATGTTCCCTCAGTATGTCTTCTAAAGATAAGGCTAACGGAAATAGAGGAAATATGGAATATCATATTCTACGTTTAACAAAAGTGGGAAAAACACTTTTTCAGGGCTTAGCATAGAAATGCAAAAAAACTTGGAATTAGAAGATTTAAAGGGAGTGTTCGCGTGAAATAATAAGAAGCTGAAACTGTTTATTTCAAATCAGAAAGAATATAGTATCTCCTAATTGATTTAAATTTAAACATAATTAGAATTTTAAAAAGATGAATGAGAATTCAGAATATGAATATTTCACATTTTAAGGAAACTTAAATCGCAAGATTACCACCAGAACTCATCGAACTATTTAATTTTAATTGAGAATTATAGATAACAAAAATGGATGATAGATTAAAACAATTTTTTTCAGCCTGAAACTAATTTTTTTTCTACTCCGAAATAGATAACAAATTAAAACTTATAAATTATACTTTTTACAAACGTAATAAATTAAGATGTTAGATTTTAGATTTTATTTCCAAATATTAAGAAAAAATATAGTTCATTGAACTTTGCAAGAAGTTATTAAAGATTATTACTATTTTTATATTTTGATGCAATTTTTTTTGGAGTTTTTTTTGGTCCCATTTGAAGACGGAATTAATATCTGACCAAAGGTCTAAAATACAATTTTGAATCATAAAAAACTTTGATAATTTTGACAGCACAGAAAAGCTAGGCAAGAAAACATTTTGTTATGATTGCTTAAATAATCATACTTTTAGATGTCGGTTGTTACATTATTTCAAGTATACAAAATGATTTTTAAGCCATTTCTTAGCTGTCATGTTTCGTGGGACACCCTTTATATTTCTAATCAAACCACACAATTTTCTGTTATCTTTGCTAAATTTTTACATAAAGTTGACTAACTTTGTAAACTTTCTCTATTCCTGGGTAGTCAAGGAGAAACAGTGTCTGAGAATTTTCTCAAAAATCACTTAAAACAAATTTGAAACTTTGGTCATTTTTGTCCGCCATTGTTTGCCCGCCATTTTAAACTAAGTTGTTCCACGTGTTTAAAGGGATTGTTCACGTATTTTAAAATGTACAAAATACACATTTTTTTGTGGGGATTCAAGATTAAAAGAAAGTAATTTGTATCACTCATGTGTCACAGAGTGCAGAATGATAAATCTTCGATTTGATGACCAAAACCAAACAAACTATTCTTTTGACATAAATTTCTCGACCCTTCAGGACAATTTGATCTGTTCAATTAGCTTACTTGGAACATTACATTTTTTTCTTCAAAAATGTTAACCATCCCTTTTAGTTTGGAGAAAATTTTAAAAAATGTAAAATCCCGGAATCTAGAGAAGAAATGTGATGAACATTCTTTACAGACATTATGAAAACCTTTTCCTCTTCCGAGCTTTATATAACATAGGATTAAACATATATAAAATAGGACCTCAGACCTACGTCATTTTAATTTTACCATTTCTCTTAATCCCGTAGATTTAGAATTGTAACTAATATAAAGGTAATTATTTGTAACATTTAGTTCAGTATTTATCACACTGTTTATATTATTATCATCATCATTATTATTATTTTATTATTATTATTTTTATTATTATTATCATTATTATATTATTATTATTATTAAATTATTTGTGTCACCTGACCATCCCCTGTTTTAGAAACAAACCAATAGCATGAGTCCTTATACACTGACAGCTCCTAAAAAATGAAAACTTTACTTTTAAAAGAATTAGTTTTTCTAAAATTTAACTTTAAGATAATTTAAAAATACATAAAATATTATTTTAACCTTTCAATTTTCTTGAATTAAAAATACATATCTACTATTTTCTTCTTTTCCAACTTTCATTTTTAACTTCTAAATTTAATTCCTAAGTAAACTCTATTTCTATGGTTTCTACCCCATACAAACTAATAACTTTCAAGAATTTTAAAAGTTTTAAACTTTTGAAAATATTTGTTTTCCCTTCTCAACCTTTAACTCCCTCCCCCCATCCCTGTACAAACTTACCACTTCATCCCCTTCTACACCCGTCCTCTTCCCTCCCCCCTAATTTATTCCGTTTTTTCTTTTTCCACCTTTCCCAGTCTCCCTGTACCCATTACCCCCTTTCCTCTGTCCCTTAACCCCAGACCGGAGTTCTTCCTTTATTCAATTCAATCACGTCTATTAAAACAATTTGGTATATAATGATAATTCAACAATCTTTAAACTTAGGGAGTTGTATTTTGTTTAAAAAACGTATATGCCTACAAAAGTATTAAAAAAGATATTTAATAGGGTAAATTGTAATAAAAAATCACAAAATCGAATTGTTAAATCTGCGTGCCTTCCCACTCCCTCACCCCCTACAGTAGTCTTTTAAGTCTCATCGTTTTATTTATAAAACAATTTCAAATTTTGAAATATCCTCCTGTCTACAAAGTTTTGTTTTTTGGTAAATAATTAAAAGAATGACTCGGTTGTTCATGCTTTTGTAAACTTATAAGAATTCTATTTTCAAGAACATTCATTGTTGTTATTCTTGAACCAAAAAACAGGTCTTTGTTCATCTTTGGAAAATAATTTTCATTCTTCTCTTTTCAGTTTAGATTTGTGAAAGATATTCCATTAAATTTTAAACAATATTTAATGGCCAAGATTTTATGAATAGCAAGAAATAGTTGAAACGCGTAGAGTGAAGAATTAGTTACACTTGACCAGCACACAAAATAACTACCAATACTACATCTACTTTTTCTTTTCTTATAAAATTAAATCTAGTCCCTGATAATTTAAAAAAAATTAAATCTCGTCCCTGCAGATAATTAAAACAAAAAAAACTTGTTCCTTGACGCATTTTTAAAAATTAAATCTGGTCCTTGTTGAACTAAAAAGGTTAAATCTGATTCTGGTCCCTGATGATTTCTAAAAATTAAATCTAGTCCTTGATAATTAAAAGAAAAATCTCGTCTCTGAAGAATTTCTATAAATTAAATCTGGTCATTGAAATAAAAAGATTAAATCTGATTTTGGTCCCTGATGACTTTTCAAAATTAAATCTGGTCCCTGATGATTTAAAAAATTAAATCTGGTTCCTGATGATTTTTTAGAAATTAAATCTGGTCCCTGATGATTTATTTAAAAATTAAATCTGTTCCCTGATGATTTTTTAGAAATTAAATCTGGTCCCTGCAGATGATTTATCTAAAAATTGAATCTGTGCCCTGATGATTTTTTAGAAATTAAATCTGTTCCCTGATGATATATTTAAAAATTAAATCTGTTCCCTGATGATTTATTTAAAAATTAAATCTGTTCCCTGATGATTTATTTAAAAATTAAATCTGGTCCCTGGTGATTTATTTAAAAATTGAATCTGGTTCCTGATGATTTATAAAAATTAAATCTGGTCCCTGATGATTTTATAAAAATTAAATCTGTTCCCTGATGATTTATAAAAATTAAATCTGTTCCCTGATGATTTATAAAAATTAAATCTGGTCCCTGATGATTTATTTAGAAATTAAATCTGTTCCCTGATGATTTATTAAAAAATTAAATCTGGTCCCTGATGATTTTTTAAAAATTAATTCTGATCCCTGATGATTTTATAAAAATTAAATCTGGTCCCTGATGATTTATAAAATTAAATCTGGTCCCTGATGATTTATGAAAATTAAATCTGGTCCCTGATGATTTATAAAAATTAAATCTGGTCCCTGATGATTTTATAAAAATTAAATCTGGTCCCTGATGATTTCATAAAAAATTAAATCTGGTTCCTGATGATTTATAAAAATCAAATCTGGTCCCTGAAACATTAAAAGTTCATTGTGGGGTCCCTTGCAGACAAAACTATACAAAATTAAGTTTTTTTTAAACCAAACTCCCCCCACCCTCAAAAATAAAACCTTTTTTACCCCTACACATTACAATGAAACTAATTACAATATGTTACAGAGCAATACTTCATTGTTCATAAACGGTTCTGAGAAAACTATGTAACATTTTAAACACAAATCCTCCCCATACACGTGTACTGTGAAAGCGTACTGCATATTTGATGTTTGATTCGCCCACAATGTCTTATTATCATTAATGAGTAAACTGTACGTCCTGAGCATGGGTAGTGGAATAGGGTAAGGTAGTCATACACTCAAGAGTGATAAGATGTGTTTAAATTCCTGCACGCACAACCCGTGTACATTTAAATATCCGAGCTGGACCAACCTATACAGTCCTAGTTTGGACTGTATCCGAGCTGGACCAACCTTTACAGTCCTAGTTTGGACTGTATCCGAGCTGGACCAACCTTTACAGTCCTAGTTTGGACTGTACCGACAATTTACGATAACGGCAAGGGCAAGCCTGTGTGATACTGTGGCATGTGATTTATGGAATGCTCAGAAAATAGTCTAACTATTATAAAGATTATACAGAAGGGAGGGCACTGAAAACCAAAACAAACAGGCAAAAAATGTTATCTGAAAAAAAGTTTTCGGAAATAAAGTCCTAAATTTTGACACTGAAAAAGTCCTGTGAAAAAAGTCCTTGAATTAAAAATTCTCTGTATTTAAAGTCCTACTGTTCTGAGACTTTGTTTTCTAGGACTTCTTACATAGAATTGAGACAGACTAGGGCAATCACCGGATCTTGTTTCTTTACACTAAAACCAGTTTTAGAACAATAAAACCAGTTTTAGAATAATAAAACCAGTTTTAGAATAATAAAACCAGTTTTAGAATAATAAAACCAGTTTTAGAATAATAAATCCAGTTTTAGAATAATAAAACCAGTTTTAGAATAATAAAACTAGTTTTAGAATAATAAAACCAGTTTTTGAATAATAAAACCAGTTTTAGAATAATAAAATAATAAAACTTAAAACCTATACTTCGTCTTCTTAGTTCCACATACCTTTGTGATGAATTAATTTAAACTGTGCCGGGTTGAATAACTGGTTCTTGAAACTTTGTTTACATTTACATAATGTAAACAAACTTCTCTCTCTCAATCTGGAAGTCCTGATTTATTTTCCAATTTCGCAGTTAAAATTTTTTTTCTTTAGTATTATCAAGTTCTAAATAGCTTGGAAACCCAGCTTTGTCTGAAACTAAAATTTCTTCATAAAAAACAACTCACCCAATCAGAATATTTTTATCAAAATTTGAGGCAAGAAGTTCATAAGCTGTAATCGGACATATATCAAACAAAAAGACACTCAAACAGAAATTTCTACAGGTAAAGTTTTTTTTGCACAGATCTAGCGAATTTAGCCATTTCAGTTTTTTTTTATGAGTTTACTGATAGCTTAAGATAATTAAATTTACAGTACAACAGTGCAGAGTAATTATCTAAGTGGGTCCAACCGTCTTTCCATTTGTTCAAGTTAAAGTTTTTGAAAAACTCTAAACTTAGTTTCTATTTATCCTGCTGACGGATGTTGAGAAATTAAATTTTTATAATTTTGAAAATAGCTTTCTGAAAAATTTTCCTTTTCTAGTTTGTATTTACCATTGTTGACAATTATTTTATCTCAATTATGTCAATACTTGATATGATTTAAATGAAAGATGAAGCATGTCTGATGTTATTCCGGTATAAGTCGGAACAACCATGCTTCTAACTCCAGCACTCAAAAGTGAAAGTACTAATTTAAGTTAAATTTTCTGATTTTCTGTCATACATAAGAATATATTTCCTGAATCATGGATACTAGCACCTCTAGTGGTGAGTTTATTATAAAAAAGAATTCTACACGTAGAGATGGGAGCATTCGGCTTTATTTTAATTCGTTTGTCCATCGTTAGTTAACGACCCATTTTTAAGTCTTTCAGAAAATTTTCAATTCGTTTATTTTCCATACATTTCGTTCGTTTTCTATCTTTTTCAAAAGTTCGTTTGAAAAATTCGGTCGTTCAGAAAAAACGATATTTTTAAAGTTCGTATAAACAAAACGATTTAGAAATCTTTCATTAACGGTCTGAATGATCCATTAAATTCGTTAGAACTATTTGAAATTGTTTAGTTTTTTTAGTTCCTTTCTTAAAACTTTGTTTTTATTTTTTTTTCGAACAATGCAATTCGTTCATATATTGTTCATTTATTTTGCTGAAAAACGCCATTGAATTTTTTTCAAAATTTCATTCAATCTCAAAAACGATCTAAATACACATAATTGAAGATAATTGAAATCTACCTTTGTATCTATATTTTGATTACAGCTGGCGGCTCCGACCCCGTCCGGGCTAAATATTTCAACTTCACACAACGATAACACTCCTTTCCCCCCTGAAACATAAATAAGTAATTAAAGGGAATATAAACGATGTATCAAGACACGTACCTCTGCTCCTTTAGTAAAAGTAAATTCAACCTATATTTAATCTATATATATATATAAAGTCGGACCGCGCCAACCTTGTTGCACTGGCTAGTCCTGTCCATAGAGCCAGGTACAATACAAACTGGGACCGGAAAGGCTGTCCGTGAAGTGGACCTCAATTTATAAAGTTAAATGTCCACCTTAAAAACAAAACAAAGATAATATCATTAAAAACAAAGTTAATATCCTCAAAAACAAAGATAATATCCTTAAATGTTTAATTCTGACACTTTTCCTCCATTTTCTTTACCTTAGAAAACAACAAATTTAAATCATCAATTTTCAGATAGAATAGCAAAGACATATTTTTTTTTGCTGCAGATGAAGCTAGGTTAAAGGGTATGTTAATTAAAAAAAATATATATTTCAAATTTAGGAATGGTGGATTTTTATTTTCTTAACACTTTAGTTATACAATATTTAAATTACTAAACATGGAGGAAATGTTTAAAATAAATTGTTCTACTTTATAACTGTACTTTTACTGAAAATATTAAATACAAGCTTTTTATAAACAAGAATTTTTTAAATATTTTGTGGATAAAATGCAAGTCATATCATCCAATTTCGTCGAAATATCTAAGAGCAAGTTGTTGAAAAAATATCAAAGAATTAATAGTTAAGTTTGCGTATAGGATATATAGGAGTAATTTCGTAGGAAATATGCATTTGTAGAGATAGAAAATATGTATGTATGTATATATATATATAAATTTGGCTTGTCTGTCTGTTTGTCTGTCTGTCTGTCTGTCTGTCCGTCTGTTTGTATCCAATAAACGTCAAAACGGCTGAACCGATCGGGCCCAAATTTTTTGTGGGATACCTAGGGACCCCAGGGAAGGTTTATGAATGATTGAAATTTTAAATATTTGTCAATTCACGTGGGCCCTTAGCTACCTTCTATTCACGTGGGCCCTTAGCTACATTCTATTAACCATCCACGTGGGCCCTTAGCTACCTTCTATTCACGTGGGCCCTTAGCTACCTTCTATTCACGTGGGCCCTTAGCTACCTTCTATTCACGTAGGCCCTGAGCTACCTTCTTTTTTCCTATAAAGTTTAAGAATACATCTCCTTAGAAAATAAGAAATGAATTTTTAACGAAGTTTGAAATAAGTTTTCAGAAATAATTTGACGGACCAGAAAGGATGGATGTTTGGTAGATAGTTAGATAGTTAGAAAGGATGGATGTTTGGTAGATAGTTAGATAGTTAGAAAGGATGGATGTTTGGTAGATAGTTAGATAGTTAGAAAGGATGGATGTTTGGTAGATAGATAGATTGTTAGAAAGGATAGATGGTTAATAGATAGATAAATAGTTAGAAATTATGGATATTAGACAGATGGAGAATGAATGGTTGGCAGATAGATAGATAGTTAGAAAGGATAGATGGTTGGCAGATAGATAGACCGATAGATAGAAAGGATGGATGTTTGGGAGATTAATAGATAGTGGGAAAGGATGAACTTTTGATTTTTGGCAGATAGATAGATAAGTACAAAGGATGGATGGTTTACGGATAGATAGATAGTTAGAAAGAATTGATGTTTAGTAGATATTTGGATAGTTAGAAAGGTTAAAAGTGCAATTTATCAAATAGTAACACGAAACATTTTAAATGAAAAATTTGACAAAATAAATTCAAAAACTAATTAATAAGAAGACTTGTAGTCCGTGAAGTAGACTGGTTTATGTAATTAAACTTAACAACATTTAACTTGACATTTCTTATCTAATTTATAAATTATACGGTATTTTAATTCATTCAGTAGTTTTCAAGGAGTATGGAATAGAAGGGAGATATAACTGACGCGGCCTGCTCTACCGTATAATTATACATGCTTTGCAGACAGTACTCCATTTGAATAAGAAATCTTTGTCTGATGTACAATTACCGTGTATATAATAACCTATTCTGAATAGTTCTTATACAAATGAAGTACCGTCTGCAAAGCATGTATAATCATATAGTAGGGCGGGCCGTGTCAGTTGTATCTCCCTTCTATTTAATACTCCTTGGCAAGCTCCTTGGTAGTTTTTCATGGTATTGGATAAACCCGAATATAAACAACAACAAATAAAATAACTTTACAATAAGCAGATTTTTCATGATTATAAAGTTTTTTATGTATATATACATTTTTTTTCAAACGGGACTGAAGGAGAAGGTCAAGTTTAGGCAACATTACTTGTACGACTTTGTGACCACGTACCACCTCTAGATTTGAGCTTAAGCATGAGTATTAGAATAGCAAACATATCACATGTAGATATTCAACTTTTTTCTTCTTAAAAAAGGGGGGTTATCATAAAAACAATAACAATAAATTTTACGTGCAATTTTCTTTAGTTTAACGTCTAAATAAATTAGACCTATTTCGTTCGGAGGTTGGACCCCCCCCCCCATTACATAAAAAAAGACAATTTAATTTATATATTAATACTGTTCAACCAAGCTTGTTATACTTGATATATCCTGCTTGTGCATTTTCTGGTCCAAAAATCTTAAAAAGGTCAATTTATAAATATATATACGATAAGAACAAGATTAGAAGTGAAGGGCAAGCTTATTATCCTATAAATACATTTAAAGTAGATAAATATTATCTTTAAGTAATTATTGTTGATACAAAAATATCTTTAACAATAAATAATAGTTATTTATTTTTTTTGTATTCGTATGGCATGAACATTACCTATATATAATAAAAATATAATAAAATAAACCCAACCTGTCATTGATAAAGAAACATATTGTCCACTAGCATCATCAGTTACACACTCTACAGTTTTGGTTTCTCCCTGGAAACAGAAAAGATAATTAATAAACTAATCAATTTAAACGATTTCATAAAAGTTTTTGCAAGAAACTAAAATTTTCTAATCCCTGTATCTTTGCAACCTGATGGTGACAACCTTTTATATTTTCTTAGATTATTTGATCCAACAGAGCTCATAGTTTAAAACCAGGGGCTTACGATGTAGGGGGGGGGCACTGGGTGCACGTGCCCCCCACCCATCGTAATGGCGTTAATGATTATATCAATTAATGATTATATCAATAAATGATTATATCAATTAATGATTATATCAATTAATGATTATATCAATTAATGATTATATCAATTAATGAATTAAAGAATGAATTAAAGGATGAATTAATGAATGGTTTTATAGATTAACGAAGTGGATCAATGGAATAATGAATGGATTAACGACTGGATTAAAGATTCCTTCCATAAATATAATGGATTACCTCAGGTATTAGTCCTGGAATCCAATTACACATGGCATTATCCTAAATAAAAAAACGATTTTAATTTAATAATTTAAAAATAATTCTTTAAAATTATACCTTGTAAGTTCTTGAATTTCCAACTCTGATTTCCAAATTTTTAATGGGTAAATCATCACAGCATCTGAAACAATTAAAACCTTTCAAATTTCTATTTTATACAGTCATCGTATTGTATATCAATACAATGAAGACGACTTTTGATTTTAATTTTGGTTTCTACCAAGCTTTCAAAATACGCATAAATATGGAATAAAAGAAAAGCTGTCAATAATTAGACTCTCGGAGCTTGAAAATTTTTATTTGATAAAAGCTTGGAAGAAATTTAAAATTAAATAAAAAGTTGTCTTCATTGTATTGATATAAACGCCGAATACTGTAAAAAGCATCATAATTTTTTAACTTTGATTTCATTATTGTCATTTTCTTTCTGTATTATTATCATGATTAAAAACATGAGTATACGGCATTTCCCTCTAAATTAAAGTAAATATCCTTTAAACTAAAATATGCTTTAAAAACAGAACCTTTTTCTAACGAGCCAGTGAAAGAAAAGATTTTGAAAAATCTTGATGACATTTTTTTTTTGGCTGTTTTATGAAAACGAAATAAGTCATAAGGTTGAAATGTTTTTAAACTTAACCTTGTGTTTAACGTTTTTTTTGAGATGTGCGTAAACATTGATTTGAAAATGTCTTTAATTGTGTAAACGTGCAGTTCTGATTTAACAGTAAGGCCCTTTTCCCAACAAACTGTGACGTTTGATAACAATTTGACCTATAAAACATAAATCTCTTTTTTGTTAATTTTTTGTCAGTGGATTTGTTGCTTGAAAAAGAACAACTCCTATTATAGTTTGAACTTGATTCGTCATAATCAATGTGAGTAAATGAAAGGTGAGAGTTTGTGTACACATTTTACCGTATTGGACTGTTAAAAACAATAATATAGATTAATGTTTAGTTACCTAAACGCCCGTTCTTAAGCGAAAATAATACGTCACAGTAAAATATACACAAACCCTATCCTCCACACCTTATATCTATTCATTTTTAACACGTATAACTGTTATTTTTTAGTTGTTTTTTTAACATTTGGATTGAAGATGTCATTTCTTGTGTTCACAACACAGTACACACTAAACATGCAACATCATAATGCTGTATAATTGTAGCTCCATCATCTTTGACGTATTATACTTGTAAACTTTATTTGGTATTTATTGTGTAATCATCTTGCTCTTTAACAATCATCCTCTAAACTATTCGCCCTTTAACATTCATGAACCTGGGCTTTTTAAATTATAAGAAATAGTTTTAGTGATTATTTGGTTATTTACGTTTTCAATAAATATTTATTTTATTTAAACTGTAAACTGTTAAAAAGACCGTAAACTGTAAACTGTTAAAGGGACCGTAAACTGTTAACTGTTAAAGGGACTGTAAACTGTAAACTGTTAAAGGGACTGTAAAATGTAAACTGTTAAGGGACTGTAAACTGTTAAAGGGACTGTAAACTGTTAAAGGGGCTGTAAACTGTAAACTTTTAAAGAACCGTAAACTGTATACCGCTAAGGTGACTGTAAACTGTAAACTGTTAAAGGGACTGTAAACCGTAAACTGTTAAAGGGACTGTAAAGTGTAAACTGCTAAAGTGACTGTAAACTGTAAACTGTTAAAGGGGCTGTAAACTGTAAACTGTTAAAAGGACTGTAAATTGTAAACTGTTAAAGGAACTGTAAACTGTAAACTGTTTTAGGGACTGTAAACTGTAAACTGTTAAAGGGACTGCAAACTGTAAACTGTTAAAGGGACTGTAAACCTTAAACTGCTCAAACACATGACTGAACCCAGATTGGATCAGGCGCTAATGGACTCGGCATACAGGAGTGATGCCGTCCCTTTAAGAAGACGACAAAATTTAGAATTACAGTACAGTACTGCTATGTATACACTGTACAGTACTGCTATGTATACACTGTACAGTATAGAGAAAAAATAAAAGAACTGATTTAAAATTTTAAAATTCTAAATTTCTAATTCCATTTTGTCTGACATATATGGAATTAGATTTTCAGAATTTTCTTGAGATTTTAGATTTCAATATAAAGTACATTAATGCAAAGATGGTCCAATAGTAGAAGACAGTACATTAAGATTGTATCCGAATAGTGTACACTTGTACATGACGTCATTGGCTGCAGTATTGGTTTTGAATTCAAACAATCAAAATTAAACTCTAGTTATCAAATAAATTAATCAATTGTAGGTGCCAAATTTTGTCGGAAATTAAAGACACGGTTATAAACTTTCAAATTTGTTTAATCAGTTAAAGGATAGGATGCTCTCTTTCTAAAATAATGGTAACATTGTTACACATCTCATTTGTATGTAAAATACCAAATATTTTAAAACAAAATTTGTTAGATGTCATTAAGTACAGCTTTTTATTATTTTAAAGCAGAATATACGGCCGGTAAAGTGAGCCCAAGGCCACAAAAAAACTTGGTTTGAAGAGGCCAAAATACTGCAGACCAAACATTGCAATCTGTTGTAAGATAAAGTTTATAAAAGATATTGAAGTTATGCATTTCTAACGACAAATTACGTAAAAAACAAGTTTTTGGTGAGAGATATGCTTAAAAAGTCCTAAAATATTTAAATTTAATCATAAAAAGAATTTTTTTCCAACTCAATATTTTAAGATTCATCTTATGAAAAACCCATTTTTTTAAATTCAATTTTTCATTAAATTAAAAGAAATTTAACAATTGGATATAAAATAAATCGTCGGACCTAATAGAACAAAATTATAAACAAAATGAAAATAATTGTAGAGGGTCCTGCCTGAATATATGTTTTAAAGGGACTGTGTATACGTAATTTCAAGTGACCCTCTATTTAAAGAGGGGAATATACGCTAATAGTAACCCTTAAATGTCGAAATGATGAAGATGTTTTTTTTCAAACTGAACATTCATAACTTTTAAGTGACTTGCGGAGTTATGCAAACTTTGAAATTAAGTCGACCATTTCTTTAATAACTCAATTTATTAATAATATTATTTATTGAATAAAATATCCAATCTATTAAACTTTCATTGATCTAGTTTGGAAGATTAAAATCGAAAAACAAGAGTAAAGAAAGTAAAAATGTAGACTTGATATAATTATATAATAATAGGCAAGAGAAATTCCTTAATTATCAATTAAATTTCAGGCTCTTGAACTTAGAAACACCATGACTATCATTATTTCATCATCGTATTCCCCCCCC